GCAAATTTTATGCCAATGGTGCTACAGCAGTATAAAAACTATGTGACAGTTCCTACCCCATGCAACCATGGAACGTCTATTTCTTTCTATCCTTGTTATAGGAATTATCGCGGTTAGTTCTTGTTAGTTACCATTTGAGGCGTTTAGGTAGACTATCTCTTCGCTAATTCCCGATAGCCAAGTGAAGGAAGGCAACTCTTGTGGAGCTAACCAAGAATGCTTACAGGTCCCTAAGGCACTGCCACCACCGAAAGACATTGGAACAGGGGATAAGCACGTGTCTGTTGGATTATCTACCAAGTACCCCTACGACAAGCGAACCCCTGATACGGAAACGGAGGTCATTAAGAAGTTGGGCACGCCTCACAGTTTCATTAAGCAGAATTTACTTCATTCAGATCAAAAACTACGCTTCAAAGCTCGGGACACTCGAGGGAACTGTTAACGCTATAAACCATTCTGGCCAACTCCAATACAATTTCACCCTTTCAAACGCCGACTGCAAAAAGGTGAAGCTTGGCTTAGATTAGCAGCTTTATCCAATTAGTAGGAAAAATAACCATTTCTACATCAATATTTTCGTCTCATCAGAACTTTTTTCTAGGTAGTTAGCTGGATTACCGATGTTGTGAATAGCGATCGTAACAATTATCTTCCGAGCATTGTGGAATGCGTACCGAAAAAAGCCACTACAGGGGAAGCTACTGTCACCAAAAACGTTGAACCAAAGCCCTGAACGCTTACATAGTGAACTTCAATAAAGCTAAGCATTTTATTCAGTGACAACACATGCGAACTCAGCCATCGAGGCTATATTAAGAGTTTCGAACTATGATTACGCTGATACAATGATTCATTGCTTGCAAGCTCTTATTAGATTCCCATCTTTCCTAATGCAGTCGAAGAAGACCTTATGCTTTTATAGTTGACTAAGCTTTATAGTTGACTAAGCTATACTCGTCCTTCCGCGGGAGTATTGTGCAGCAGTCAAAATAATGTTTCAAGCCCTTATTACGACCTATCTAGGCCGCTTATCAACCCGGTAACGGACTCCCTTGTGAGTACCAGAATCTCATAAGAATATCGAACTCTTGAATCTCTGAATCAATTTAACAAATATAGACACAAAAATATAGTCTGATATTTTTCTGCTAGTTTTTCTTACTCCAAGCGTTGAACAAAGGGAATCGTGCAAACATTTCAAAAGGCTTTTTTACTGCTTTGATATTACGTGGCCTTTTGAAAGTGCAGTATGAACGATTGATCGGACGGAATCAAAGTCTTTAGAGATTTTTCAGACAGGTTTGGATATGATGAACTACATTTTAACTCAAAAATTATGCATTTCGATTGGTAGCGTGTCGAAAGCGCGTCCTGCACGCTTAACAAGCTATGTATAAACGCAAGTCAAAGAGAGGATCAGTATTCGACGAAGAGCCCGATTAAGGCTATGTGGCTGTGCCGTTTCTGAACGATAGAAAACCAATATTAGTTAGATGACATCAATTTTTATCATTGCATGATTAGCAACTAAATTTATTGATTCAGCTGCTCGTTATTCTGATCAAGCTTATATATAACTGGAAATTAGTCGGGAATTATCATCAGAATCAGTCGACATGGTTCCTTTGGCATTACTTACTGTCCTATCTATCAGCCTCGTTGCACAGGCTCAATTCCAATATCAGATGTGCTTGAATGGAGGCTCTGGACGTAAGTCGCCTCTTGCTCAACAATTCTTAGATTCCATTGCCTCGTCTTCGCCTTCCATCCCTCCATAGACGTCTAATTCGTATCAGACTTGTCCGGGAGGATAAAGGCACTGACTTGTTTATCGGCTGGCGAAGTCATGGAGTGGGCCAAATAAGCATTTAATGACGCCATTGCGATTCTGAATGGACGTCAAATGCGGGGCGCATCTGAAAAGCGGCCAATGCTTAGGACTTTATCTTCATCCTGGGACTTGAATAACATGAGGCTTGAGGACAGTTGCATAGTGGAATGTGTATGCAGAGGTCTGGAGGCGCGGCTACGACCTTAAGGCGCAAAATTAGATCACCGGTGTTATGGTGCCTCCTGACCCAATACCTCACAACACCATTCAAAAAATAGTCTTCAGTTCATTCGTAAAGGCAGATTCTAGAGGGATCCTTAAGATAATATTTTTCAGCATGTATGTTCGGTACTTGTCCAAATGGACAAACCTGTATTCTGACTGGACCTGGTGAGCAAGTTTGTTGTCCGAATGCTCAGGTTAGCGAATACTAATTGCAGAATGGACCTTTTTCTTTCTATTGGATCATTCCAAACTTCGTTTCTTGAGAGAGAAAAGTCGATAGCACACCTCCACGTTAAAATCCAGTTCAAGTCCTCAGGCCAAACACCAAATACCAACAACTCAGACATATTTTGGCCGATTCTTGGTTACAGTTGAGGGTCCATCATGAAACTCAACCACATTTTTTAGATTATCAGTCCTGGACTTACTACTACTACTATTGCTACCACATCTACTGCTGCTACTACAACATCCGGTAGGTTTCTGGACTAAGCGATTCTTCCTATTTCCAGGAACGATAGCTGATTATTCTCTCCGGCGTTATCCTAGATGGTTCCTTTGACTTGGGTGAACCGCGTCAGCGCTCAAAACTATCTTGCCACCGTAAACGCGGCTTAAGCGGTGGTCGCGCGATCAGCCGTGTTCTGCTTTTGCGGGCTTATTTAGGCGACTATAAACCAGTGGCAGCGCCAATTCCTTCCTCAGCTGAGCTGTGAATGATCGAGGGATTATGGAATATTCATATCCTATTTATTTTCTTCACAGATATTTTTAAAAAATTGAACATTTTCTGCAGCTTGTCGTGATCTCCTCAATCCACGTACAGGAGTATCGGACTGTCCAAATGTAGCATACCTATGTAATAACTCCGTTTATTACAATCTTATGACACAGCAATGCCCAAGAACATGCGGTAGATGTCCAGGGACAAGTGCAACAGGAACAGGACAAGCAACTGTGGCACCTTATTCAACAAGTGAGTTTTTCCATTTGCTCGGATACAACTTGACTATTGATTCCTTGTTTTGGAGCAGAAAGTAACTCTCTGAAATTACCACTGACACGAATGTGAGATACTCAGGAATGCTTAGGCTGGCGCTCTAGGCTACTGGTAGGTGAAGGATCATCTATGAAAACCGTGAGGGGATAAAGTGGGGCAGAATGGGGCCCAGTACTTCATAACAGGGCGTTAAGGCTCAAGCCGAGACTCGGATGGCCCGGCCAAAGCTCCAAAGCGTAGGACCGTCCCCCCCNCTTCACCAACTAAGAAGGCCTAGCCATACGGGTACAAGTAAGGATTGAGGCTCATTCTCTAAACTTGAACACATGAACCTTCTACTCTCTCATGATCTTGTCGTACTGCAAGCCAGTGAAGTTATAATTTTATAAAATTTGTTTGAGAAAAGTCACTCATACTTAGCCTTTGCAATATGTTGCTTTCAGCCTGCCGTGATTTGGTCAACCCCACAACTGGAACTTCAAACTGTGGCCAAATGTACAGTTATTGCCAAAATCCAATATATCGTACTCTTATGAGACAACAATGTCCACTGACTTGTGGATATTGCGTTTAATGTTGTTTTCTCATCTGTGATTGTTTATCACTCTGATAAATAAGCATTTTCCTCAATGTGTCTTACTCTTCAGGAATCTTTGTAAATCTTGTGATGATCCTACGCTAATAGTAACTATCATGATTGTCATGAAGGTTTCTCCCAATTATTGTCGCTCAGTCCAACCTAACACCCCAACACCTTCCTTCCCTTTCCCTCTCAGACATTCAAAAGACTCGTTTGGGAGTATAAAAAGCGGTGACCGGACTGGCCACCAACCGTCAGTGCATGGACAACGTATGCAAAGGTTTCTCTACGATTCTGAATGGAAGTTGAGTATGAGGCGCATTCTACATGCATCTGTCTTTATTCTTCTTAAATCAGATTTATTAAGTATTTCCCGAGCCATGGAAATTCCGCCAGGAGAGGAACTTCAAGCAGGAAATTCAAAAACCAATTCATCCATCAGATTTCGATAGTAGGGTCAAATCCGTAGTAACCAATCTTTGCATAATAAAAATGGCAGGCAAAATACATTCTGACGTTATTCCGTTAGTTTTCTGACCCCGGCTGGGGAACAAAGGAAGCTGGGCAAATATTTCGAATAGTTTGCACACTACTGCCTCAGTGTTGCGTAACTACTTAAAGTACACTTTGGCTGGATGTCAAAGTAGAAATCAAGGTCCTTCTTCTGAAATTAAGTGGATTTTGTTCAATTATGACTCCTTAGCTCATAAGCTCTACGACAGGTGGGACACACTTCACTGACAAGCAGAGCTGTATCGCTATTCCGCTACTTTGAGCTCAAGGGGGGGGGGGGGGGGNAAAAAAGGATTGGAGCTTGGACACCCCTTTATTGATTGATTGCCATTATATGTGATTATTGCGATTTCAAGAGCTGAATTCATTGAAACAGCTGTACGATTCTCTAGTCCAATATATAAATAATTGGAAAACACAGGCATGCTCCAGTCCACCCGAAAGACGACATGGTACTGCGAGCCCTACTCATCCCGCTACTATCCATTAGTACCACTGTTCAGGCTCAGTACCAATCCTGCGCTAACGGAGGCTCAGGACGTAAGTTTTACTCTTCTTTATACTTTCACAGGGGTCCCTTTGTAGATCCCATAAAACCAGGTAGAAGCTTGATACTTGTATTAACAGCTCCTTCAAAAAACATCTACACTGTTGCAGCATGCTTGGCTGGCACTTGTCCAGATGGTCAAACGTGCATCCAAACTGGTCCTACTGAACAAGTATGCTGTGAAAATTCACTGGTTCGTAAGTCACTGGTTCTAATTTTTGCTCGAGTATTACTGTTTAAAAAAGTAAAAAATCACCAGCCGTGAGGGCAATTTTCAGAGATTTCTTCTTATTGGCAGGGTACTATGGTTTCCAAGAACGCCAATGGGGCATTGTCAGGTTGCAAAGCGGCCTACATAGGGCCTAACAAGGAATCGAAAACCGTTTCCAACACCCACTTCTGCCAGTACTCCCATGCAAGGACCGATTCACTGGCCTTGCAGAAGCTTATATCATACAAAATGGAGCACGGTTTCTGCAAAAGTAATCGGCTGGTGCACATTGCTCCGTAGCGATACCATCCAACTCAAGAAATCCCACCTTAGAAGATCGGTTTTGACTTCTGTGGATTTTTCTAGAAACCAGAAACCCTGCACTTGGGAAGTCTCAAGAAAAACCCGACTGGAACGAAGGCCAGAGGGGATGGTAGGAGGAGGAACCCGATGAACTTTGATTGTATCTTATCTTTAATAACTGGGTACGCCAAAGAACCCTTCAAAAAGTTCAGATGATTGTTGGTTTTCACAGACCCGACTTTGTAGTTTGATCATTCAACTATTTCAGATTGTATCTGCTACTACTACGACTACCGTAGCGCGTAAGTTTCAAATTTTTAGCTTTTTTCCTGATCTCATTTAATTCTAGCAACCATTTGTTAACAATTTTGAGAAGCACAACAGTATTTCATGCACCATCATACAATACCCATTGTCTTGCCCATACGACCTCCTACTTTAAAAAAAACAACCTGCTTACAACGGATAACCCAACTTCCAACCTTTGATGTGCTATGCTCATTGGCTACCCGGGAACTCGATGACGCTCAGGCTCATCTCCTGCAAAGCTCTCCGTTTTTTGAAATGATTATTGCCATCATTTTTGATCGCGTCACTTTCAGCATGCCGCGATCTCCTTAATCCACGAACAGGTGTATCGGACTGTCCGAATGTAGCATATCTCTGTAATAACGCCGTTTATTACAATCTTATGACCCAACAATGTCCTAAGACATGCAATAGATGTCCAGGATCACCTGGAGCAGCAACGGGAACCGCAACTGGAACAGCCACCATTGCACCTGCTATGTCAAGTAAGTATTCTGTAATATTTCGCTGCAAGATGACTGCTACAGCTGTTCAAATGGTGTTACGTAGAATCCGTGTGTATGGGGGAAGCTTCGGGAACGTGTAGCAGTTGGGTTTTGTCATATTATGGAGTCGTTAAGGCGGAGGTGATGTAGTGGCAAGTGGCGCACTATATCGCCCCACGGTCGCGGGTTCGAGTCCCCGATCGATATCCGCCTAAACGAACCAACCTTCCTTCCCTCCGGGGTCATTAATTGGTACAAAACTCGTCCGAGAGGATCAAAGCACTGACTTATACACCGGCTGACCACCGCCTGTATAATCATTGTATAGGCCACCATACGCATTCAATCCGCCACTATGACTCTGAATGGAAGTCAAATGCGGAGGCGCATCTCTCACACGGGATTGATTAACGCCAAGAACTTTAGACTTCTATGGAGTCGTTAGTGAAGCTTTATGCCATATAAACTTCCCATTCCGGAACTATCTCTTGAAAGTGGGTTGGTCAGTTCCCCCGAGGCTCAGCTATGTAAGTCCTCTATAGACGGGGATTCGTTTACGTTCTGTCACTACAAGCTTATTGCCCGTTTTGAACAAAGCCTCGGGTATACTGAAAGAGCGTCATTGAAGAAGAATCCAATCAACCTTCTGTCATCCCACAGAAGCAGTTCTTACGGCATGAACTTGGTGGGCAGAAGGCGTGGCCTAAATTGTGTGAGTATAGCATGTTCATGTGACAACTCAGTCTATTACGATCCGATATGAACTTGGTGGGCAGAAGGCGTGGCCTAAATTGTGTGAGTATAGCATGTTCATGTGACAACTCAGTCTATTACGATCCGATGACGCATCAGTGTAAGTAACGTACGGCAGATGCACTGACAGGAATCGAATGAGCTCAACGGCAAACTCTTCTGTCGGTTTGAATGCAGCATCTACAGGGGAAGAGTGATTCACAGGGAATGTGCAAACTTCATAATGTCGGATTACTGTGTATTCAGCCGATCCCCCACAAAATTTCAATCGGTCTAAAAATGGATTCCCCATACGGGCGCTATCTCGCATTTGCACTTTTGCGAAAGCAACCTGGGTTAGAACCAACTAGACCATCACTCCGCATCCCTGCATCTCACACTAGGCTGAAGTGGCCCACTAGGAGCACGAGCTCAAACGGACCTACTACGCGGTGCAAGGAGTCCAGAGATATTGATATTTTGGGAAAATCCAAATCCTGTTCTTTGTGAATTCAATCTTTTACCTAACCATGCCCTACTGTTTTCAGATTGTCGAGATTTAGTCAATCCGACAACTGGAACTTCAAACTGTGCACAAATGTACAGTTATTGTCAAAATCCTCTATATCGTGCCCTGATGAGACAGCAATGCCCAATGACTTGTGGATATTGCGTTTGATGCTGTTCTATATCAATTGATGCGCTCATTACGATAAAATCTGGTAATTATCCAGATGAATTCTGTTTTTAATGAATAAACCACTTTTTGGTCATGTCTTTCTGTTGCTATCAACACATTCCTTTGTAATTACGCAGATGCAATTGAATGAAATTAGGAGGAATCGTTCGCCAGGCTAGTAAGTTTATAATTTTATCTTTTCCAGCAGAGTAACTGGTGTCTCATACGGAACTTCCCCAACCTTGGTACGATATCTATTTGAAACGCTTTAAAACTATCTGTAGGAACCGCTCTAAAACTACCTACCCGAGACGTGTTCAGAGGCCCTTCACTGCTACACTCTCCCTAACTTTACACAACCCAAATCTCTACCTTAACCGTTATAATCGTGCTCAACTCCTGCCAAAATCCTCCTTGTTTGCTGAAAGCGTATCGCAACTTTAGAGTGTTACCTATCACGCTTGACGTAGACCAGCTCTTAACAAGTTGCAACTCAGGCTGATGATTTCACAACTAGTAAGAAACTCCGACATGTCACTCACGTCAATTCCACCAATACCGAACAGTCCGTGACGATAGAGCAATTGAGACAGCCCGGTCAACCACGACCTATTTTTAGAATCGCGACGTGACGCGTATCAGTCTCACTATCAAAGCTCACACAGAGGGATGTAAGGCAAGAGGTCCCCAGTTATGTTAAGCTATGCGTTCGTGTGAAAGAACATCTAGCCAGCAAACGAAGGTCTTGCTCGATTGCACCGCTTGGGGAGCACAGAAGGGAAGGTCATGCTGGTTGTGACTTCGACGTTAAGTGCACGATTCTGGCCCGCGAGGACAGTATTGGTGCCAGAAAAACTCTAGAGGCTTTCTGGATAAGACACCGAAATCCAAGCATGAATAACAAGAACGAGTGCATCAACATAACTGGTGGCCTCTTGCCTTACATCCCTCTGTGTGAGCTTTGATAGTGAGACTGATACGCGTCACGTCGCGATTCTAAAAATAGGTCGTGGTTGACCGGGCTGTCTCAATTGCTCTATCGTCACGGACTGTTCGGTATTGGTGGAATTGACGTGAGTGACTTGTCGGAGTTTCTTACTAGTTGTGAGATCATCAGCCTGAGTTGCAACTAGTTAAGAGCTGGTCTACGTCAAGCGTGATAGGTAACACTATAAAGTTGAGATACGCTTTCAGGCCTTCGATAACGACGAGATAGTCGAAACGTCAGGCGAATAAAGATTCCACCATTAA